GGCCTGCTGTAGGACTCAGGTAGAACGTTTTGCCGTGTGCCTCGGCCCGCGAGGCAGTCAACGGGGTCCGCCGATATACCTGTAACGGATGAAGGGGGATGGGACAGGAGGCGCGAAGAATGGCAGCAAGACAAAGGATTCTGATCAAGCTGCAAATTTTATTTCAAAATGGAGGGAGTTATATAGAGGAGGGCAGTGGAGGAAGTGCAGTGGATAGGTGGCTTCAAAGCGTGCTCTAGCCTGCGATTGGCCGGGGGGTGCATGGCGGGCGCGTGATCAAGGCACTGATTGGTGTGCCACCCGCATGTCCAGGAGGGGGAGTTCCATGGCTCCTAACCGCAGCATCCTGTTATTCAGGCGCAACCTTCAGGTCGGATTGTATCAGCCTGTTTCAGGCTTATCCCAGCCCCCAACAGCCGTGAATCCTATCTTTCTGTCTCTGAGAAAGATGCCCATGTGACTGAGAACCTTGGGTAATATAAAAACCAGGCTAGAGATGACCGTAACACTGTACATCCTGGGTAAGGGTTTCTGATCTCCCCTGAGAGTGAGGACTACTTACTGCCTTCCAACCCCACACCAGGTGAAAGCAGTAGGCACACCAGACCTTTTAGTGGCTGCCATTACTAACCCTTTTTGCTTGTGCGTTCTCGAAGACTAGACAGGAACGACTGGCCCATGGTCCCCGAGAGCTTCAGTAAATTCCAGAGCTGGGATTTGAACCTAGTTCCATGGGCCACACCGTCTTCTCCCCCGCCCCCATGCTGATTTCCTTTCTGTCTGGACACATGGGCCCCCATCCACCATGACCATTCAGAGCATGACTGGGGGCCTTTCCCTCTCTTCTTCTCCCACCCTGCAAAGGGCTGCACCCCTGCCTTCCATCAATCTCCAACTTTAAAAACTCCAAATGCCAGTGGAACGTGGCCTTTGGAAGCTTGCATGGACCCGTAGGACCCTGTTTTCAGACTGTGCTCTGGGAAGGCAGTGCTGCAAATGGCCGCTTGGAACGTACGGCAGGTAGGCACTGTCTTCTCTTACAGGTGAGGAATCTGAAGCTGGAGACTCCCCCTCGACTGAGCACCAGAAGACTCACGGCTCCTTGAGTTTCATGCCCCCGGTTACTCTTCTAACGCACCTGAGCCCTGACTCTGCTGAATGGAACAGACGTGGAAAAACGCACTTACCTGGCTCTCGAGTTCCAAATTCATGTCCAAGTTTCTGACTGGAAACACACATGTGTGTCAACCCGGTGACCCCTCATGGACTTAACATCTTAACCCGAATTACATTAACTCAAGAGGAAAATGCCACGTCACCCTATGCCGTCAAACACTTCATTATCATTAACGCAGCCTTCCTTCCAATTCTACCAATTTTCCTTCCATATGTAATTTATTCAGATAAAATATATTTCTATCACATATTCTTAAAACCCCACACTGACCTTTCTTTCCCTTCTATTCGAAGACTAGACTCTATCCAGTAAAAGGATTGATTAATATTGGTGATGGAAGGAATAATCAGTGAATCAGTTGTTTCACAGTGAGGCTGAAGCAGCCAGCAAAGTCAAGTCCGGAGCAGGGAGCTGCAGTGCAGAGGAAAGAATGGAACAGAGGGTCATGGCAACAGGAGCTCTGAGGACAAATACACTTTGAGTTTCTGCTATGTGCCAGGGTCAGGGATAATGCAATGAACAGAACAGACCAAGTCTTGCCAGCATGGGACGGAGATTCTGGGGGACGGTGACTCGGGATGGGGGAAGCAAGGGAGACGTCTCCTCCACGATCCGTCAGATTTGCCTTCTACCAGCTGTGGCTTCATCTCTTGGTCTCAGGCTGCTCCTGGAGTTTCATTGTTTGGCAAAGGGAAGGGGAAAGGAAATCCAGGCAGTGCCTTTGTCTTTAAGATAACCAGGTGCCCTGGCTGGTGTGGCTCAGTGGACTGAGTACCTGCCTGCAAAATGAAAGGTCACTCGTTCGATTCCCAGTCAGGGCATATGCCTGGGTTTCAGGTCAGGTCCCCAACTGAGAATATGAGAGAGGCAACCAATTGATGTTTCTCTCACACATCAATGTTTCTCTCCCTCTCTTCCCCTCTCTCTAAAAATAAATAAAAATCTTAAACAAAATAAAATAAAATAACCAGATAATTGCATTAATCGTTCCCACTCACATTCCATTGGCCAGATGCTACTATAGAACTGAGAGTGTATTCTGGGGCCTGGAAACCACATTCGCAGTTAAAAATGGGGAGTTAGTGACTACTATTTGTTTTAAAAGAAGAACAAGGAAATAATAGATACGAATCAACAGTCAGTATTCTCTGCCCTTCCTGTCCGTGGAGTCAGAGGCTCTGTGATGTGAAAGAGAGTCACTGACCAAGGAGCTCTTCGCAGCTACTACCAACGACTCAACGCCCGATAATGTTCTATGATTCCTTCATGATTCAGTCAGAAATTATTACAGAAATGTCTATTTTGTAAATTTAATGTGAATGTAATTGACACATTAATGGTTGCAGGCGGCACTTAAAAAACAGCCCATCTTTAAAATAACCCAGTCGGACAGCACACTCACAGGTCCTCGTGCCCACATTCTAGACGCTGGCAGCAGGAAGACACTGCCCTCCCCCCCCGCCCAGCTTATCAGTCCAGGCAAGCTCTGCCCAGGGCAGCTCTGAGTTCCTTGGCCCAGGGCCAGAAGGTCATTCATTCTGAGCAACCAAGAGTGATGTGAGACGCAGGGGCTCCCAAAGCAGCCTCTCTCCCTGCTGTGCTCACCTTGGATCTGATGACTCCAGCCATGCAGGGAAATTCTCTGGAAGGCAGCTCTGTGGAAACTGTTGACTAGGTAGCATTCACAGAGGGAGATTCGTTCCTGCACCAAGGGCTTGGGCTAGCGACCTGGTTCCTTCTCAGTCTTATCCTTCTCCAGTGTTCTTTTGGAGGTAATTCAGCCCATTGTGCCTTCTGATGTCATTCTACACAGGAGAGCCTCACACCTTTACTGTCCCCGGAGTGCTGGGCCCTGGTCACCAAGCAGGGCCTGGACTGGCCATGCTGGGAGTTGTTGAATGAACGGTGGGCTGAAGAATGATAATTACACATGTCAAATTCTTCGAGTTGGTGGTGAGGTGCGGGAAGGGCATCATCTGTGGATACCGTTTGTCAATATCCAGTTTGGGGTGGAAGCCGGTTCTTAGTGAAAGGTCGCAGGAGAATACCTGGCCCAGTCCTCTCAGGTGGACAAGTCCTAACCCTCCAAGGCCACTGAGACCTTGTGAGAAAGTATGGCTGACCCCAATGACTGTCACAAGGGCCACACCTTACCCTCTTCTCCATTACTCCCAGGGTCTCAGCTTCTAAAGCAAGTAAGCTTGTTAGAGAATTTCCCTTAGAATAAAAGCACGTGCCAACATTTTTTTAATTAAAAATCTAACCATAATAGAGCTCTTTTTAAGTATCAAGCACTACCCTGAGATTCATACTTCTACCATCTTAATGGCTGAGTATGGCTTAACCCCCGAGACAACCCAGAGGTGGGCACTATCATCACCTCATTTCACAGACAGAAACACTGAGCTCCACTCCAAGACTTCCCATGTATCAGGCCCTGCGCATCAGGTGGATCAGCAGCCATGAACCTGAGGCTTCATGCGCCATCCACCATGAACTATTCACCATCCACTTTGCTTACTTCTAGTCCCAGAAACAGCAGTGCCCATGTCTCCCAGTGACAAAGTGACAGCTGAGTGTCCTTGGGACAAGAACGACTTCTCTAAGAGGCTTCCAAACATGTATTGCCCTCCTGGAGAACTTGTAAGCTCCTGATACTCTCTGGAAAGTGTATTTCCAGCCAGACTTGTGTTCTGTCGCTACAGCTGAGATCACTGGCTGACATTTTGTGCAGGGTCTGGTGTGATGTCTGTTAGGGTTCTCTTCTCTGCAGGTCTGCATTTTGCCTCAAGACCTCAAGTGTTTCCCATTTATGTACCATTTGAGACTCATACACTTCACTGGGTCATCACAAACGCCTGGGGGAGGGGGGGTCTCAAGGTGAGTTTCCTCAGTAGAGAACAGAGGTGTGTTTTGTGATTCCCAAAGTTGAGGTTCTTTTTTAAAAAGAATTTTTATTTATTTATTTATTTTTTTAGAGAGAAAGGAAGAGAGAGGGAGAGAATCATCAACGTGAGAAACATCTATTGATTGCCTCTTGCACAAGCCCTGACCAGGGACCAACCCCGCAACCCAGGTATGTGCCCTGACCAGGAATTGAACCGCCAACCTCTTGCTGTGTAGGACAACGCCCAACCAACTGAGCCACACCAGTCAGGGCTGAGATCTTAATAAAAAGCAAACGGCCCTAATCCTCCTTTGATTTCGATGTCTCAATGGGTAAAGAGGAGTTAGTGAGAATTTTTGGGTCTTCAATAGACTGTAGGTTGGGCCACTTGCCCCACCCACTGGACATGCCCAGGACAATGGCCCATTGTCTCTCCAGCTGCCCTATCACCTGACCTGGGGCAGGGTCAGTGAGAGGACCTGCTGCCTTTGGCACGTCACCACCAACTTATTTAATTCGTCTTTGAACTCCAGAGATAACTGTTGTGGTGCTTTCCCCCCAGCTTTATTGAGGTATGATTGACAAATAAATATATATTTAAGGTGTCCAGTGTGATATTTTAGTATATGTATGTATGTTCTGTGAAATGGTTACCAAAATTGAGCTAATTAGCATATCCATCACTTCACATAGTTACCTGTGGTGTGGGTGTGTTGAGAACACTGAGATGCACCCTCCTAGCAAATGTCAAGCACATAATGCAGTGCTATCCACTACAGTCCCCACGCTGGGCATTAGGGCTCCAGACTTTAGCCATCTTATAGCTAAAAGTTCATACTCTTTGGCCAGCATCTCCCCCACTTCTTCCAAAGGCTGGAAGTGAGATAATACGGTATTTGCAGAGGCAAATGTTTTTTAAAAAGTGACTCCACCAAATCTTTTTATTATTATTTTATTGCTTATACAACCCATTTATGTCTATTACAAGTATATTCCAAACTGGAAATTCACAGGTGTTAATGAACTTGCCTAATGGGTCACCTGTCTCTTAACTCTGTGGTATTCACTACCTTTTGCTGTTGGCACTTCAATCAGGAGATGAGCATGGCCATGTGCAATGATGTGAATCAAGTTCAAGAATAAATTCTTTGTTAGAGACCAGTTCAAAACTTGTGCTTCATGAGTGCAAACCGAGGGCCAGCTAACCTCTGCCTCTCAAGGAGACACACAGAACTGATTCCTTGATGGGCCATTAAAAACATATATACATTGAATGATAATTCTTAGTCATATAAGTAATTGTTTTGTTATTTAAAAACCGTGGAAAATATCTGTTAACACTGTATTCATAAAATACCTTTTATAGTTATATCATACTCTAGGTTTCATTTAACATTTTACTTTACACAATTTTAGTCTTCCAGACATAACATTTATCCAGTGCATATAACTTCTACCCTTACAAACCCACAGAAACAGCATGGATTCTCCCTGAGATACTCAAGTCACAGCCTTAGGAATTGTTCTAGGAGAACGGGATGCCGGGAGGTAAGTGGACGCCTCTCCTGCCGCATCCCTTGTGTCCAGGGCTGTGAACACATGAGATGAGTGTGTTTCAACAAATGCAAAGGGCACAGAAAACTGTCAAGCCAAAGAAAGAACATGTTTTGCCAAAATGTTTGATGCATATCCAGCTTTGTCTGCCAGGTATATAAGAGACACGGATATGGCATTAAACAGGTCCATACCAACAGTGACCCAGGGCAAGTGACAAGAAAGACCCACTGAATGCAGAATCACTGTGGACTCAGAGATGCGGTTTTTGTGTCATAAAAGTTTGTGTGTACATGATATGCACACACACATGTGTGCATATACCTTTTCAAGTATTCGGCCTAAAATTTCAGAGCTGTGCTGGAAAGCATGCCTCAAAAATAAGGTCAAGACCTGTTATAGAAGGAAAATAGCGAGGCTTCAGGAGTTAGAAAAGAAAAATTAGGTCCTGAATTATTCCCACAGCCTCCAGGTCAGGTACGATAGTGGGTGTGCAATGGCATAATACAGGGGTTTTCTGGAGCAAACAAGAGTGTAGTGTGGAGACGGGAATAGGTTATGAGTAAACGCTGATGTTTGTGAACAATCGGTAACTCAGTAAAGACGTCACTTATAGAAAGAGGGACATAGAGGATCTATTTATCTAGAAAGGCCAGAAAGGCCATAGGACTAGAGATGGCTGCATGATCAATGGCAAAGATACACAAGTTGGAATGACAGAGAAAGTGGAGGCAGAGATGGAGGTCCTAATAATAAAGATACAGAGGTAGTGCCCTGAGGAAAGAGTTCCCCGCCCCTCAGCCACCCAGTGCTCCAGGGCCCTCCGCAGCCCATTGTGAAGACCATGGGACCAGCCTCCCTTAGTCTCCACCAACTTTGACTTGAACGCTCAAATGAGTCTTCTTGGAAAAAGCCTCTTGCGAATTGATTTCTCCCCTACCTATTTCATCATTGCCAGAAGATATAAAGAACAAAACCGTTCTGACATAGGCAGCCACTTCCTGGTAGATATGGGTGAATAAGAAACATACATTTAGAGAGTCCGGAAATCACCAGGCAAGCCCAACAATCAGGCAGGCACTGTCCAGAGAGGAAGACAGTCTGGTCACCCAGTGGGTCAGCAGGGACCTGTTGCTGAAGGCACTCTGCAGGCAAGTCCATTGAAATTTGGGGCAAGTCTGAACCTTGATCAGAGCTGGTCCCAGGCACCTTGGCTCGTGTCCAGCCAACACTACATCCCATGAGGATGCGTTTAAGTGGAGAAGGGGCTACTGAAGAATTTGCAGGCTGACCACAGTGGCTGCATCTACAAGGCTCCAGGAGGAAACAAGATTGCCAACCAGTGGCAGGCAGGAAGGAGTCAACCTTGGTCGAGTACTCCCTTACCTAGGAGGCACAGTGGCTTGTCAATTTTCGTCCTCTTCTTTAGTTCTTACCATACTTTAATGGGGATAAATTTATATAATCTTTATGGGAGTGGCCAGCATACCGAAGTTCAGACACGTTAAGTATTTCACTCAAGATCACAGAGTGATGCCAAAATATGAACCTAGAAATGCCTGATTCCAAAATGCATGCTGTTTTCAGCAATCTTAGTGGGTTACCTCAAGGAGCCTCCAATTAGTTTAATAATTTTTTCTTCAATGAATCTATATTTAAAATGAAACTAAAAGAAAACTCCAGATGTTTGAAAATTAAGCAAAACATTTCTAAATAAGAATTAAATTGGAAAATTTTTCTTAACTAAATGATAATGAAAAGAGACAAATCCAAACTTAAGAAGTGCAGCTAAAGCAGTACTCAGAAGAAAATTTATAGTCCTGAATATATGTATAAGAAAAGAAAATGAGCTGGAAAAAACCCAGTGACCTAAACGTCCATTGCATGAAGCTGAATTTAAAAATCCAAAGATATTTAAGAAATTTCTTTATCTTTAATAATACAGAGAAGAACAAAAACCAATAATAAAAGACCAAATTTACAAAGCTAAAAGTTGTATCTTTGAGAGGTAATAAAAGTGATAATTCCTGATCAAGACTGACCAAGAAAAAAAGAAAAAGGAACAAACTGAACTGCCAGGATCAGGAACAACAGATATTTTAACTGCCGACTTACAAATGTGAGACATTGACCATGAGGAGCAGGAGGAAAAGGAAGCGGAGAAAAAAATGTAACCATCTTGAAGCCACCCAGAAAAATTACATTCCAGATTCTATTGTGTTGAATTTAATCTGACATGCATTTAATTAAGAGAGAACATAGGGCACTTCCAGTTTAGTATTATAGGCCTAGGAAGAGAAAACACATGCAGTTTGGAGTCAGACAAAGCAGAGTTCAAGTTGGCCTCTACCTTGAACCCCATGTATGACTTTAGGTGAATTGTATTACCTCTCTTCCACTTTTTCCTCTAACAAATGGGGGATAATAATATCAACCTCATAAGGCTATTAGAAGGGTTAGAGATAAAGAACCGAGCATATGAGTAGCTTACTGCCAACAGAATATTTGCCCCAGCACGACCCATAAGCATAGCATGGTAGTTTATCTGTAAAAAGGGGACAAAAATATATCCTGAGACAAGATCCTTCATTTGGAAATGTAACATTTTCTGAAAAGCCTGGGCATAAGAGAGGACCGCTGTGGTCATTCTTCAATAGAAAGGATGTTGCCAACACACAAACAACATAAAAGCATCAGCTGAAAATTACAATCAGATCATTTAAGAGAGTGTTTGAGATCTTGCTCCCCAATATGTCATCAGGGTTCAAACAAACTCTTACAAATGTTTTAAAAATAAAATAATATAAAATCTTCATTTTAATTTCATATAATAATTCATCTTTTCTTGAATGTTAAGAGATAAAAATGAAAACTATTGCAATAACACAAGTTATTTTAAGACTTCGGCGGGGAAAGGCTTCCATCTCCCGTGTTGACATGATGACGGAGGATCCCCCAGGTCCCCAGCTTTCCACCAGCGCGTCTTCCGCATCACGCACGGCCACGTACTCCGCGAGGGCTCAAAGACCCGAAACCGCCATGCCGACGGCTCACATTACAGAACTGCAAAACTGGTGCTCAGGATTTCTCACACACTGGAGCAGCCTGATCGGCCTATGACACAAAAGCAGAAACGAAGTCCTGGAGGCAGTGCAACCCACCTGCAGCCCCGTGCGCTTCTCAGCAACAAGTGTGTGGACCACTGTACCCACAGAGCTCCTCTCCCGCCGCGATGCCCCGGGGGAAGGGCAAGTCCAGGAGTGAGTGCCTTAGAGGGGGGCCCGGTTTAGTTTTATTGCATTTGTAAGGCCATAAAAATAAACACCAAGAAGGGGTGTTTGGTGATGATATGTGGAGATGAAAACGAATATCCAGCTCTACTGTGGCCTAGATATGAGCTACGAGTGTCAGAGGGACCCCCATATTTTCCTCATCAGGTCACTGGCTGTGAACACTTCTGGGTTAGGCTGGGGGTGGGGGCGGAGAGGAACGGAGGTCACCATAGGTCACCTTCCCAGGTCACCATCAAGGCCCAGGGGAAATACCTGCAAATGGCAAGAAGGCTCTTTCTTCCTCAAGAACAAATCAATTACCTGTAGTTGTCCTGGCAGGTAAATGCAATATTCCTCTTTTCTACAATCAGTTGCAGATCCTCGATGAGGGAACTCGAGCATGTGTGACTAGGAAGGAAAGAAGAAAGTGTTAGAACAACAAGATCTTGCAAACATCTCCTGAATCTGTTCCTTCTAGGCAGCAGGCCTCTGCAAAGCCCCGGGATAAGAAGAGGAAGCAGAGCTGCCGCTCAGAGTTCACAGGCCCTCGGGGAGCCAGAGGTGCAAAGTGGGTTGATATCTATTATGGAACTAAAATTGAGAAGTGGTTGGGATGGGCTACATATAACATAAAGCCCAATTTATTTCAGGAGCCAATCTTTCCTCAGTGCATTGCTGTGACTGTGCATTCTTTTGTGGACCGATTCCTAAAATAACCTTGAGAATATACAGGTACAAAGTAGGAACATACCTGTGAGCTTCTTCAAGGTCATGCATCACCCAGGCTTGTAGTGTAGAAACCTTCTCTGAATGCAGATTATAGATTTCCACACGTCCAAAAGTGCTAAGATAGAAGGGACAGAGGGCATTGTTAACCCCAAACCAAACCGTTCAGGCGTCCAAAGGCCCTGGGAAAAGCCAGCAGCAGGGCAGGCGCCATTGGTTAGAACCCACCCTCTGGAATGGACGATTTACTCTTTCAGTGTGACCCTCCATGAATTAAGAACCTCAAAATGAGATTCTTAAAGTACTTGCTCTTCCAAGAGTGGGCGTTAGACAGCATGAGGACATCTCCTGGGTGCTAGTTAGAATGGCAGAATCAGTCCAGTGCCCCCTGCCGCACCAGAACCTGAAGCTGGGCAGTCTCCGGTGATCCGCACACACAGGCAAGTGGGAGCGCGGCTTTGAGAGGCCCCGACGCCCAGCTCTACCCCCAACTCCTAAACTCCTCCCCTTTAGTCTCTGGCACCTGGCACTCCTACAGCAAGTACTTAGGTCTCTCACAGCAGATTGTAAAATTCTGGAACGCTAGCACTTCCCCCTAAAAGCCCACACACAACGCTGAGGTTAAAAGAAGACGAAAGCACAAATGCTTCTTTGTAGAATTAAATATGAAAGCAGGAGAGAAGGGAATTTAATTTGCAGCACCCAGAGCGTCCCTTCTTCTTCAACAAGCCCTGTCCAGGGAAAGTTTGGCGAACAAAGACTCCAAAGCTAATTCATGGGGTGAAAACTGTAAGTACAGAAGCCAGCAGAGAAGAAAGGCGCTGGTGTGGCCGATGGTGTGGATGACCGGAGACGATCACAGCTGATGCCCGTGGAGTGCTCTCTTGTTATCAGGTGCAGAGCTCAGCGTTTCTCATGCATTATCTCAGCTCCTCACCCTGTCACTGCCACCTCAGCAGGCACATACGCTACAGAGGCAAAGAGGTTAAGTGCGCCACCTAAAGTCACCTACAGAATCCATGGTGAGCTCTGGAGTCCCACCTTTAACTAAACTGCTGGCTGACGGTGTCTGCAGAGATAATGAAGGTCAAGAGCACAGCACAGCTCCTGGTGCTCCCAACAGTGGTCGTAGTGCTGAACTGGGGCTCACATGTTCATGCAGGAGAGAGGGGCAGGGGCAGGTTTTTGTGGATGGTGAGGATTTAGGCAGAAGGCAGGAGGGGGCAGGTTAAATGGGGAATAGCATGAACAGAGGCAGGAAATGGGCAGCAAGGAGTGTCATGGAAGATGAAGCTGAGAAAATTCCACCAAGCCTCAGAAAGTCAAGATGAGGAGCTGGACAAGCGCAAGGACCATTCGGACCTTGAGAGGATTATATGCGACGGAGAAAGCAGAAACATTCACTTAGAAAGACAAAAATTTTACCCTTTTTTAGCCCAAATCTTTATTACCGACCTTAAATGTGAGACATGTATTTTTCTATAGGTGAACTATCAAACAGGAGGCTGAGCTAACCCTTGCAAATAGAATGCAAAGAAATAAGTACCTGTTTTTATCAAAGGTGTTACTGATGGACCCATTGAGCACCACCTGGACCATACCACAGGCATTTTCTGCAAACTTAAAAAAAAGAAAGAAAGAAGGCCCACAATGCCACAGCATGCAAATTTAACTAGCACTCCCCGGCAGGTGTACCCCAAATAGTTCTTAGCACTAGCTGGTTAAGGGGGAAAAGAGCCTGTGGGCAGTAGCTCAGCACTGCCCAGCCTGTGCATTTCCATCCCAAACCACCAGAGGGATTACGCATCCCACGAGAGCTCTGGAAGCAGCTGCTCCGACCTGTGTTTGCACAAGGAAGTTCAACATCTGAACTCCAACGTCAGAAGTTCAGATGAGTAAGAGGAACACTGCTGAAGGAAGAAGATAAAAGCGCTTTCATGGTGCCATAAACTCAGACACTGCATATTTCATTAAGGAAAAGGGGTAGATGATTTGGGGGTAAGGGAAAGAGGGACCCCAAAAAAGGCAACATTGAGGCCTGTACAGGCACAAAAAGAAATGGGGGCCCTGGCTGGTGTGGCTCAGTGGATTGAGCGCAGGCCTGCAAACCAACAGGTCATCGGGTCAATTCCCGGTCAGGTCACATGCCTGGGTTGTGGGCCAAGTCCCCGGTGCCAGGGGCATACGAGAGGCAACCACACATTGATGTTCCTCTTCCTCTCTTTCTCCCTTCCTTCCCCTCTCTCTAAAAATAATAAATAAATGAAAATCTTTTTTATTTTTATTATTTTTTAAATTTAGTTTTTGTTATTATTATTATTTTTTTAGATTTTATTTATTTATCTTTAGAGGGGAAGGAGAGAGGGAGAGAAACATCAATGTATGGTTGCCTTTCGTGCGCCCCCTGCTGGGAACTGGCCTGCAGGGAACCAGCCTGCAACCCAGGCATGTGCCCTGACTGGGAATTGAACCGAGATTCTCTGTTTCGCAGGCCTGTGCTCAATCCACTGAGCTACACCAGCCAGGGCCAAAAATCTTTTTTTAAATAAAAATCTTTTTTAAAAAGAGACATGGGGAAGGAATGAATGAATATTATTAAGCAAAGAGTTTTATTTCCTCGTGCAACCAACTTTCAGCCAGACTCTCTGCAAGGCACTGGAGAAAGCAAAATGAGCAAAACAAAGCAATCTCTCCGCTTCCTGCAGGAAGCCCGGCCCCAGGTCTCCTTCTCATTTCACGCCACCATCTCACACAGCAAGGCAGAGCTTCAAGTGAGTTTGGTCTCCAGTCCTGGGAGCTCTGCCAGCCCCCGTGGGGCTTTAAAGCGAACACATGGCACAGAGTGGGTGCCGCGTGCAAATCAGTGAGAGGAGGAGGGGAGGAAGAGAGGAAGCAGGAAGTCCAAGCGCTCTGTGATGGAGATTGGGAAAGAAGTAGAGAAAATGTAACAGAGCAAGGAAAGCCGGAGGATGGACGGGATCTCCCCTGGTGAAGGGCGAGGCAGCTGCGAACTGGAAGGCCTGGGGGCTTGGGGCAGACTGCAGTGGCCTCTGAAGGTGGATAGGTAAGTTAATTCAAGGAAGGCCGTGTGTGCTTTGCCAAGAAGTCTCGCCTTTAGTCTGCACGAGATAAAACGCCACTGAACAATCTGAAACGGAATTGCCGGGGGCTGATGAGCAGAGGCCCAACTGGCATCAATCACAAGTGCAAACCCAGCCCAGAGCTTTCAGGGTGCCAAGCACTGACCGCACAATCCTGTGTAATCCGGGAGAGTCCCTGTGGAGTAAGTATTGGGTCTATTTGCCCCAAGGTCACTTGGAAGTGAGAAACTGGGATGGGTTTCAAACCCCAAGGGGCAGAGCCTCTATTGCCAGAAAAAGAAAGGATCTAGTCTGATGAAAGAAGGCTGCCTGTGTCCACAGGCAGGTAAGCGTTTGGCCACAACGGAGGGGCAGTCCCAGCCGACAGTCAGTGGGTTGGCGCACCTTCAATCCCGGTCACCACTGTGCGCCTAGCTGCAAGGACCGTGTGGGGAACACAGGCAGGTGCTCACCACATATATAAAACCTGACTTGGCTTTAAAAGTTTTTAAACTCTTTAAAGTTTTTAAAGCCAACAGCACTGCCCCCAAATGTACCATAGAATGATAAAATAGACAGTTTTCTCAGAAAACACAAGAAGCTTTTCTCAAAAACACAATTCACAAAAAACTATATGGTGCTTCTGATTTTTCACAGCACACAGTAGGCGCTCAACAAATACTTGTTAAAGGAACGCGTCCTTAGTTAATGGGACAGTGATGTCATTTGTCGATGTTGCAGTGACCCCAGGGGGCAGGCGCTACTTTTCTCCCCATTTGGCAAGTGAGGAATCGACAGTAAGACAGATGGTTAGCATCTACCTGGGTGGAAATGGTCTTCTCGTTTCAAATCCCGGACTCCCTCCTTTGCCTCTGCCAGGGTTTACCTGACTCTCCTCGAGGTGGGCTGGGCTCTCTCTCCTGACGAGCCCACTGACCTTGAATGAGTCCCTTAGCCTCTGAGTCTTCATATGTAACCTTCGCTCAGCACCAATTGTGGGGCGCAGAGGGGATGGCAAGACAGCTTAGTGACATCAGAAATAGAGAGAAGGGGGTGGGGAAGACGGTGACTATTTCCCGGCCCGGATTCTGGTTCCGGAGTCGGACAATTTGGGGTCCACTCCAAGACCTTCCCCTTGCTGCGTACACCGAGCATTCGCCTACCCGCAGCTCTATTGTGTCATCTGTAAGGTGCTGTGATACTCGTGGTCTCTATTTTACAGGGGTCTTGGGAGGATGAAGGCTTTGATCCTTCTGCCTGGCACACAGGAAGTGGTCTGCAGGGATAACTTAGTAAGATGGTTCCAGGAATCTAAGGGTGGTCGATACCTGGACCAGAGGATCAAACCCAGCAGGAGACTCCTAGCAGCGAAAGCTGAGACATGGGTAAGAGCAGGGGTTTTTCCACTGGTGCCCATGGGCTTTCCACATATGCCTCAAATCACACGTGAAAATCTTCTAGAAAGTACTCAGGAATATTTTCCTTGGGGAAGGCTCCCATACTTTTGTTCCTAAAAGGATCTGTGATCCCCCCCACCTCCCACGCACCCTCCCCCCCCAAAAAAATCAAGCAAAACACAGCTAGAAGACCTCGTCTTTTTCTGGTCTCCGAAATTCTGGAATGTCCCCGTGGGCACTCACCCGCCTGGACACCGCGTTCCAGAACACAGACATGGTGTTGTTGCGGCAGTCTTTCCTCCAGTCGGGGCAGGACTGGTAGTTCATTTCTGAAAGGGACAGTTTACAGGAATAATTAAAGTGCAAAATCAGAGATTTCATTAAGCCGCACTCTCCCCTGGCTGTTCCATCACAGCGGAGTCGTCCTCTGCCAGCCTCCCTGCCAAGGCGGAGGGGGGACAGTGCGCACGCCTGGACCCAATTTAACTAAGTGCCCCCTGAATCCCGTCCAAGTCCTCACCTTACCCTCCCAGTCCCAGACGGGAACACAGGGACCAGCTCTGAGTCATCGTTCTGGGAAGTTGCGGGAAGCCCATCTGACCGAGGCGAGCCCCCACCGTGGTCCTGGCACCAGGGTGCTGGGAACAGCAGCCATGACACTGGGCCCTGGGGCGGAGAGGGGGTTCTCCCCAGCCACTCCTGGGTTTCTGGCCAACAGCCTCCCTGCCCCCCACACACCCCCACCCCTGCGACCCACACGCTGAGGCCCCGTGGCCTCTGAGCCGTCCCCCTCTCTGGGGCAGGCGGCTAGGACAGGTACAGAGCGTGAGCACCCACTTCCCACGTCACTCCCCCCGAGGGTGCCTGCCTTCCTGCGCAAACATTTCCTAGTTACTTTTCATGTATCATCGACAAATGAGATTGCAGGGTATTTAAAGTGTGCAATGGGATGATAGGACACACATATGTGCCTCGTGGAAAGATTCCCCTGTGCGGAGAACACACCCATCAGCTCGCATACTCATCTGTGTGTGTGTGTCCACGAGAGAACACTCAGGGTCCACCATCCGAGAAAACTTCAGTTACACCGCCACAGTGTTGTCAACTACAGTCGCCTGCTGCACACGAGACCCTTGGACCCTGCTCCTCTTCTAAGTGAATGTCTGTACCCTCTCACCCACCTCTCCACGCTGCCCCCGCCCTCTGCCCTGGCGATCACTTTCCACTCTGCTTCTCTAAGCTCGTCTTCGTAGGATTCCACCTTCCGGCAACACCGCGCAGTGTTCGTTTTTCTCTGAGGAAGCTGACCAGCCGGAGGACACCCTGCAACACGAGGCGTGCGTACACTTACATGTGCCTCATGTTCTTCGCCCCTTGCCCCCGACTGCACAAACGTTTGTGTTAAGTCCTGGGGACAGAGAGGAATGAGACAGCCCTGCCTTCAGAGGACACATGATCCCGCAGAATCGAATACATCATAAAAAGGTCAGTTTGGGTTGGGGGCGGGGGTAGCCCCCTTGGGGAAGGAAGGTTGGTGTTGAACTTGACTGGGAAGGATGGGTAAGAGTCTTCAGACAGATGAGATGAAGAAGGAGCTCCATTCAGAAGTGCGGAACAGCCCCGTGGGTTTAGACTAGTAGCAGCAGAGCAGAAGGGATGAGGGAGGGAGCTGGGAGACGAGAATCTGAGACACAGGCCAGGCCATGCTGAGGAATTTGAACCTTATCTCAGAAGCAAAAGACAGCTGTTTAGGTTTTAGGTTAGACAGTGAGCCGGTCCCACTGAGGTGGCCAGAGGGGGCTGACCAGCAGGAAAGTCTGAACCAGAACACAGGGAGTAGGGGTGGCGAGAGGGGACAAAGGATGAACACACGCGTTGGTCTGAAGGACAGATTTTACGTCAGGCTGGTTGTCAGCGGGGCACAGATGAATTAGGGTGGTGTAGGGCACTGGTTTGTCTTGGCCTGGCAAATGTGACTCAGCTCTGTATGGAAGACCTACAGAAGCAAAGTGGTGGGCAGAACCCAGACTTGCAAACAGAGTTTTCCCATGGGAATTGGGCCTAGAAAATGCACACAGAGTGTTATGGCTTGTTCTTCCTAAAACTCCCTCGCCCTGGTCTAAAACAACAAATGTGTATTGTCTATCTTCGAGGTAATAGCCAAAGCCTGTATGAGTTCTCCCAAGGACAGAGCTAATCAGCTCATCATTATTCCCCTTGCATGTTATTTTCATTTCCTTGATTGTACCTAGAATGTAGACAATAATATTCTATGTGATAGATAATAGATCTTTCTATGATGTAAGACCCCAGGAAAACAATAAAAGCCTGTCTAGGCAAGGGTCGGGGCGCTCCCCTCCTGAGGGAGTGGCCGAGGCACCATAGGCACTCTCCCCTTGAGAGAGTAGTCCTGCCTGTTCCCTTTTTCCACACAGGGTTGTTGTCACCTGTGAATTGACTCTTGTCGTCAGCCACAACAGGCGGATTCTGCTGGTCAGGGTCTGCAACAGGGTGGGTACCTGGGGCCCCGCCCTCCACACGGATCTCTCAGGGTCCCCAGCAGAGCCCAGGACTCCTTCACCCCACATGTCACCAGATGACCCCAAACAGCCCTGACCCTCACCAGAGGAGCCTGTGTCTCCGCACCACCTGAGGCCGTCGGCCAGGTAGCCCAGCAGCGTGTCCTCCAGCGTGAACATCTCCTGCTGCACCTGTGTGTACTGATGTGCCAGCTCACCGGACTTGCTCCAAAAGACGGTCTGGGAGAGAGGACACGCAACCTGTTATTGAGATCCATGTAGTGAACCAGAACAAACCAAAAACACCACACCCACATCCTTTTAAATAGAAGGCAAACACAGGAAATAGGGTAAATCACAGGTAGTCAAGGTAAGGGTTGCTCAGTTCATGGCCACTGTGTGTGTGCGCGCGTGTGCGTTCTAGGTCACAGTGCAAAATGAGCTCATTGTTCTGGGTCGCCATGAAAACAAGTCTGAAAGCCACTGATCAAAACCTTACACCGAACAGAGGACCGGAACACATCTGGAGAAGCCATTTGGAAGTTACAAAATTCCTGGAGTTATCTGCAGAGCAATTTTGTCTCCGCGCTATTCTGGGTGAGAAGTGCCCTTTGTTGAGCGCTCCATACCCCTGCTTCCTTTCCCAAATCTCTCCTATCCTCACAAAAGAAAAAGAAAAACAAAAGAGCTAATACAGGGAGTTTTTCAGGGTCCCCTGGAAAGGTACAAAAAGTCAAGTTTCAGAACACTCTTCAGCGCCAGGGACCGGCTCCTTCTGACTCGGAGGCCGCGGAGGCCATGCTCAGAAGCCTGCATCCTGGAGTCACACTGCCCTACAAGGCCCAGCGTCACTGCTTATTAGTCGTCTGACCTGGGACAACCAGAGCATCGTCGCAAAGCCTCACTTTTCCCACCTGTAAAATGGCAACAAGAATAATTGGAAGAAACTCTTGGGATGCTGAGCAGATTGGATGAGACAATGCAAGTAAAGGGCATAGTCCCATGTCTGGGCCACAGCCCCGGGTCACCCAGGCCTGTGCTCAGTGCACCCAGCAGGGGCTCCTGAGTGACTCCCGCCCCCTAGTGACAGGATGAGAGGCTATAACAGGGCTGATGGGCTCCACACAGATGACTTGGGGCAGGTTTCATGCTGGCTTTAGAAAAGATTCACCCCGTGGCAGACTTCTTCCAGTACAAACAGTGCATGAAAACCCAGGCCTCTGGCCCCAGACTTTGTGCCAGTTCAACTGGTCACTTTGAACATCAACGAACTTGAGGAGTCGCCGGTCCCCTAAACTCCCCAGGGTTCACTGTTTTCACTGGTGACATGAGGATGGTGCCACCCGACCTGGCAAATGCAACTTGGTGGCTTTGTCATTACTGTTGTCACCAGAGGTCAAAGGCGAGTTTTGTAATTACATAAAGTTGGGTTATTTTTGTTTGGGTTGGACTGGCTTTCCTGTTAGGTTTGTTCTGCCCGATTTTTAATCAACTGTCGTTTTCTCTTTCCGAATCCCTCTTTCTCCTTCCTCCCCTCCTCTAACATCCTAAACCCAAATCATATCCTGGTCTCCCTCTAGCCCACAAACGCTATCCCTGCCAACCACACCTACATTCTCACATCCAGGTTATTCCTCTTCCCCCTCCTGGCCCAAATCCGGACCCGCGACCTCTTCCCACTGGCGTCCAGCCTCGGTTTTGAAATCAAGACCTTGACCCAGTCACCTTGTTGCAGGGTATGGCCTGACTGATCAGCTTCATCAGTGGCTGGTAGTCTTCTTCCCTGGAGCCACAGGGGTCCTTGGAAAGAAACGCATTCTGGAACGCCTTCACTATCTCTTGGCAGTCTGCATGGCTGAGATAAAATGTGGAAAATCAAGCACGACTGATGAGATTTCCAACATATTTTTGGAGCATAATTACCCTTCCCCACAAAATCTCCCGTAGGAGGCATGGACTGAGGGCCACTCAGTCCACACATGTGAGCTTGTCTCATCATACGTTTTCATGGGTGAGCATCTTGTGTCTGCCCTGCAAAGCCCCTGCCCCTCAAGGAGCTCACTCTCTGGTTAGAGAGACCGGCAGGACACAGACAGGCAAACAAGTTACTGAAATAAGCACAGATGATTGTAACTATGCAGGAAACCAGTTGGGGGTGGATGAGAGCAAAATACCAAAGCAACGGGACCACTTTAGGAAGGCTGGTGAGGAGCAGCCCCCCTGAGAGGTCATTTAAGCTGAAACTAAGTGATGAGAAAAAGTATCTTCCAGACCAAGGGCATTGCACGTGCCCAGGCTCTGAGGCAGAAAGGAACTTGCGGACGTGGAGGACCAGGAAGACGAACGGCATCGCCACAGTGTAAGGAAGCAAGGGGGCGGGGCATGGTGGCAGTCAGGTCAGAGGAAAAAGTCGAGAGCAGGTCACTTAGGCCTTTCAGACCAAGGAAAAGACGCCTGATTTTACTCTAATGACAGTGGGAAGCCACTGGATGGTTCAAAGCACAGAAGGGCCTCATCTGGTTGTTGACTTTGAAAAATTGCTCTGGGGAACTCTGAGCAGGCCCCGCGGAAGGAGAGAAATGTCTGAAACAGAAATTTTTCCCTTGGGAGAGTTCGGTTATCAGCGCCAGGGCAGACTCCAGCCCAGGGAGCAGGACCTCGCTGCAGCGCCGGGTCAGGCAGCTGGACCTGGGGACGGAAAGATGAGACCCACTTTCCAGACCCTCAGAGCAGACTCGCTCTGAGCCTGCTCTCCCACCGCAGAGACAAGCAACGTGGGCCGCAGCACAGGGGCCCTGCCTCCCCAGTTCGGACTGGCCCCCCCATAAGCCAAGAATCGGAGAGTGTCGGCATGGCACAGACCCTTCCACAGAAGCCTCTCTGCCAGCCTGCTCTTTTGGGGACAGGAAGGAGGGCAAAGCCCTTTTGTTGATGGCAAAGATGAAGGCCCTTGAGTTAGGCTGCCCATCTGACCTCTGGCTCTGCCAGTTATGCTGTGTGTCCTTGGGAAAGGCACCCAACGCCTCTGTGGTGTAGCTACCTAACAATCCGGGATTGAATAAAACACACCTTAAGGCCTTTCACAACAGTGCCCAGAACAGAATAGGGGCTCAATCTATATCAACGTCCTCTCTCCTTTCTTTTTGTGCCCCTTTCTCAGACCTTCCTGAGGTGAGCCATCGTGCCCAGCCAGCAGGGGTGGGCGTGGCCCATGCCACCATCTCACACTAACCTGGGAATGGGCTCCTCCCCACAGGGCCCTGGAGGACTGTCAGTACGTCCCATACCTGGGGTGGTGAGAACACACAGCCACTCAGGGTCAGAGATGTAGGGCACAGACCCAAGCCAGAGGCACCCCTGCTTGTCTCCTTGTCCACAGGCAACGTGAGTTTCTCCATACTCTCAGTTTGGAGTGACATACACCCTCACCTTAGTAAGAATCAGTCTAGAAAATGTAACTGCTTTGATATCAAGCAGCTACAGGATGAAATGCCAGATCATCACCCACTGGCTGGGTAGAGTGGAGTAATAATAATAATAATAATAATAATAAACAATAGGTAACACTTATCGAGAGTTTAATATATGTCTTACATGCATGTATCATTAAACCTCATATCACTTCTATGAGCAAGTATATCAGGATTTTATTTGAGTTAATAAGACCAAAAATTGCAAGAATTTAAATAGGATAGAATTTTATTTCTTGCTCAGATGTCAATCTGGAGGTCAGTATCTGGGACTGGCATGACATTCCTCATGTCAGAGACCCATCCGCTCACTCCAAAATGGCTGCTCCAGTTCCAGCCATCACAACTACCTTCCAGTCCAGAGGAAAGATTACAGAAGAGAAAAAAGAAGAGAAAAAAGAAGGAAGAGGAGGGAAAAGCAGCAGCAAAGGGCATATGCCAGCTGCTTTTTAATAACAGAAACTAAAAGATGTTCTTACTATTTCTCTTATCTTATTTACTAAAATGTAGTCACATGGCCATATGCAGTTACAGGGGATGATGAGAAATGCAATCTTTAATCACACTGCTAGCATTGCCCTATGAAGCAGGCTATTAAATGCTCCAGCCTTAGTTTCTTCATCTATAAAAAGGAGGTGGTAACACTTGATGAGTGCCAGGTTTGCAAGGATTAACTGAGGCAACACATGGCAACTGCCAGGTGCCCGGGAGGGTTCTCTTCATGGACACCCTTCAATTTCCCCAATCTGCACAGGATATTTCCACTGTGTCCCTGCCTGACTTCAAAAGCTGTTCCAGGACCCCATTATCCACCTGGCTTTCTTCAAACATTATACACCTAAAGAAAAAAGTTATCCCATTTTGTACTCCGGGTCAATCAAAATCAATGGGGCCCCATCCTGGGATATTAAAAGAAAAGCTGTCTGGTGGCTGTTTCACTTCAGGGGATCACATTTGAATTCCATTCATTTAATTCAGTGGCCTTCTCAGCAAGTCCCTGGTCTGGATTCTGACTCCCTCCTAAAATTCTTCTTCCTCTGTCCTTAGCAGCCTCTGCAGGACTAGAGGTTGGACAAAGTGTAGAGGAGAGACATCTTCCTGAGTTGAAAGAACAAGAGAGCCCTGGCTGGTGTGGCTCAGTGCATTGAGCACCGGCCTGCAAACCAAAGGGTCTCTGGTTCAATTCCCAGTCAGGGAACATGCCTGGGTTGCAGGCCAGACCCCCAGTAGGGGGCACTCAAGAGGCAACCACATAATTATGTTTTTTATCCCTCTCTCACTCCCTTCCCCTTTCTCTGAAAAAAAAAAAAGTAAATTAATTAACCAAAAAAGAAATAACAAGAGAAACTTTTCCACAACAACAACAAAAATCTGGCAGAAAAGAAAGTAACATGCACCAAATACCTACCATACACCAGATGCTTCTGTGAGTCTATTCTCACTGAATCACCCAAGACTCGATGGAGTCTCACAGAGAGCTCACAAACCTCCAATGTTATCTTTATGCTTCTCTGATACATGGACCCCAGTTCAAAAACATTACCTTCAGTGATCAAAAACCCTCAGGTCATAAAGTTAACGAGTCCCTGGTTTAGAAGGAGCAGAAGTATAGAATGGTGGAGCTGGAACAGACCTTGGAAGAGTTTGTCACCCAGCTGTCTCCCCTTCCTCTGTCTTAGAAATCAGAGACTCCTCTGGCCCCACAAGTAAGAAAAAAATGGACAAAGACAATGAGAAGTTTGGGGCAGGCTTTGTGAAGCTCCTTTTCATCCTTAAAATCAAGAGCAAACATTTCACCCTGGGTGGGCGAGTCAGCATTTCTACTGGCATAGACAGATGGGTAGGCAGATAGATGAGAGGGAGAAGTTCAGTTAAATACTGAAATGATAGATAGACAGATGATAGACAGACAGGAACTAGGACTGCAGTTTGTGCAGAGATGTCTGCAGTGCTCATTCAAACATGCCATCACAGAAATGGGCCTCAAAATCACCAGTCTGGCTCTAAAAAGGACAGGCATTCACTCAGATATTTGCAAAAGTCCACAGTCCTCATTTTGTCCCCCTGGCTAGAGCACAGTTTCATCGAATCCAACGGCAGCCAAGCAAATGCTGTTCTGAGTCAGTTGGTCGGGGCCTTTGGGATTCTGTGTCCGGCAGGGATGGAAGAGGATGTCTCTGACTGGAGATGCATCACGGGAGAGTCAGGCCCATTGCACCAAGGTCAACGAATTGTTGTGCTTCAGTGGTTCCTTCATTCCCAAATTAGAGGCCTCGGTTGTGCCACTTTAGGAAGACCTGCTCCTGAGGCCAGGGACTGGGAGGTGGCAGTTGTTAGTCCAGGGACTAGTCCCCAGAGCTCAGTGTATGCCGGCGGTCCATCCTTGGGGGCCACCTGAACCACAGGGGCTGCTGAAGGTCCTCTGGTCCTGTGGTTCTCAGTTCTGGCCACCGCTGAGGACCTCCTGCAGCGCTTTGGAAAAGACACCAGGCCCTGACTCCAGACCAACAAAGTCACAGTGGGGACAGGGGGAAGGGTAGGACCTGCCATTTCCCCACAGCTCCCATTCCCATCCGGCCCAGCCCCTGGGCATGGCCCTTCCACTTTCTGCCTCATGAATTTGACCGTTGGGAGTAACTCATGTAAGTGGAGTCACATAGTATTTTTCTTTTTGCGTCTGGCCTATTTCACTTAGCACAGTGTCCTCAGGGTTCTTCCACGTTGTGGCACATGCCAGGACGTCCTTCTTTTTTAAGGCTGAGTAATTCCACTGCAGGCATCCACTAGACTGGGTTGTCCACGGACACTTGACTGCTCCCTCCACCCGTTCTTTTGACCCACAGATCCTACTCACCAAGGGCCCACTCCAAGCCTCACAACAGGCACAGTATTGTAAAGAGAAGTAAGTACTATTTCTACCCTCAAAGCACTCACACTGGGGTATACAGGACAGAGAAGAACAAAATTAATTTCAACTAGAGTGCTGGTGACTTGCCCGAGGCACTAGAAGGTGAAAACAATAAACAGCAGAAGATAGAAACAGGATAAAACAAAACAAAACAAAAAACCCACTAAGTGGCTCCCTATCTTATTCTGAAACCGGCTTTCCTGTGTGTTTGCTCCTCCAGGTGCTGTGACCTATGAACTCTGCCTCCACAGCCTCGGCGAGTGGTCATCTGACCTCTCTGCCCCTGGGCTTCCCAGGGTGCGGTCCAGAGCAGGTAGAGAGGTGGGGCCAAAAAGAGGAGGGGTTCTGGGGGGGCTCTGCCCAGTGGAATATAAAGCAGCCTTTGTGTTTACACACAGCTTAGAGTAGCTTGGGGAATAGTTATTTTCTATCGAGTGAGAAAAGCAGGCTGCAACCTCACAGAAAATAGAAAAGGAC